ATCTCTTTCACACCCTTCTGCCAAGTCATGTGCTGTTCACCTCGCGGTTTTCGCCATCCTGAAGGAGGCACGGAGAACAACACTCGTCTCGGTAGACGGTGTTTTGGCATGCGTAGCACATGACCGAACCATCGTAGTCGATGATGCTGGATGTTTTCTCGGATTGAGGTGACTGCAGCACAACCAAATACCCGTTTTCTAACCACCTCGTCACTAACACGCCTTTGTATGAACTTAGACGTTTTCTTTCCACTTGTATTGTTGAACCTTTTCCTAATAAGCTTCTGATATGTCACTTGTCGAACGGGTTTAAAGGAGTTGATAAACTCGTGGAGGTTTACGCTTAATCAGCCTGTAATTATCTATGTAAGCGTTCTCACAAATCAACTCAGCTGCTGAAAACATGTCTGATTTCAGTCCCATACAAAAACAGTCGTGTAAGAAGTACAAAGGTCACTTACTTCCCCGCAAGTAGTCGGCTACTTTCTTGTACGGTGGCATGGTTTCTCTCATTTTGCTATCATACCAGAATCGAATTTCGTCATTAAATTTACACACCGAAATAAGAAATAGGATTATTATTATCAAAATATCCACAAGAATTCCGACAACAAGCAGCGCGATTTCGTTTGCCGACATCTTTTCCTCTCCCCATCCAGGTGGGATATCAGTGTAATTTCCGCATATTCGTTCAGTCTCCAGACAGCCGCTCATTGCAAGCCTTTTTTGAACGAAAGTCTACCGAAGGTTATACAGGCCAAATAAAAATCGATCGAGAAGCACGTGACTTCTGCCAGGCGAGTCTAATGAATAGGACTCGAAATCTTGTCAGTCGATTTTTCCCATTCACATTCCAAAGCGCGAACAGTTAGCAGTATATACTTCTGCAGTTTTGTAAAATGTGTCCAGATTTCGCTTGTTCGATGACAATACGTGTGATTAATTTTGCAAAACTAACTTATCGTGTGTGAGCCAAATTCAGTTAGACCCATGGCTGACAATAGTGTTGGCTGCGACCACCCTATTTTTTCCGTTTAGAATTCTAACTTACTGAAACTATTTATAGTAGACACTCGATGAATAAACCAGAGGCAGTCGAGAATGCCAAGTGAAACCGCACTTCACCAAACTAAATCCACAAATACCACTCGGATTTAAGTTAACATGGGAGCCACCAGTCTGTCTCCAAGAAGTACTGCGATTCCCGGGTTTTAGGCCCCTGAGAGAATGTTTTCCGTAGTGTTGGTATCGATCATGTGGGAGCATTCTTTTCTATAATCAGTGACTATTGGAAACACTTCAGACATTTATTTTAGAATTTAAATTGGGGAGGATCAAATATTCTTAATAAATACAAACTGTTCTCTCTGTTGGTAGTAACGCGATTTAAAAAGGGAAACAACTGAAGTGATTGGCCACCTCTGCCCTTTGATCGGTTGCCAGTTCCACAACCTACTTGCTAAATTGAGATGGCACAGTGAGCATCTGCTCGAAGGGTAGTTGAATCAACCAGTTTACCCGTTAGAGAATGACTGTCACTTCCACTGTTCCTCAACCATTCTGATTCCTAACTTGCCGGGGAAGAAAATCATCCATACGGAAGGGAACCGCAAGTTTTCCCGTTCATTGAAAGCCTGGGGAAACTGTTGCTATCACGTGTACCCTGATTTTTAAGCACATATATATCGTGGCTGCTGGATGCAGGAGTTTTTAAAACTCGTTTTCCAGTTGATGCATCCAGAAGAACTGCCTGACTGCACACAACAATTGACTATGTGAGTATCAACCCGCGACTACACTCCGTCCGCTATAAGCCCTGATTCCTCGTTGTAATCCCATCTTCCATCGTTCTTTTGCTAATCGGTATGGGTTTTTCAAATGGTTGTTACTCAGGTGAGAATGCGAATCTTGAGTCTTGTTCAGTTTCACAGACAAACCCAGGGAGAAGAGGGTCACCTATCTACTGGGTTACGTTATAAATAAAATCTTACAATATTTCAGTCAATTAATTCTTCCCTTTTTCTTCACACTACGGGTTGCAAAATCAGCCAGCTTCCGAAAGGGCCGCCTTTGACAATGTCTTCTCACTACTTACAAACCTACAGTAGCTATGAATAAAAAACCCTTCATCGAGCATATTGTTTGTTTCGCTGATATGATTAATTCAAAAATAAATTTGAAGAGCAAGCGATTGTTGTAATCCAAAAGTGTTGCGAATGAAAATCTATTCTGATTATCTTATTAGTTACGACACACTATTAAGTGTTTTGGACTGAAGTTTTTCCGGTGGGCTATGTCCGTAGTTCCACTATGCACTTCCCCACTCACATCCCCACTATGCCGCACGGTTTTTCTCGTTTTGTTCCACGTCCGCATCCTGCTGATGAGTTCTGATTTTAAAATTGAGCTGAACTAGTGCGTCCTTCTTTGTGAGTTTCCGTATCATAGTTGTGTTACATACGATTCGACCCACGCTGTTCAGGTCACCATTTGACCCCTTCCATTGTGTGGCGCTGACTTAGCTTGATGCGTCGTGTCAACTGCCTTTCTCCCTGCACCAGCTGTTTACACGGTTCAACAACGACGATCGTGGACTAGTAATCTCGGGACTAATACAGCGTCAACAATATCGACTCCAGCCATAGGACGCCTTAATCCAGGACAACAAAGATGCCGAGACTGTACTCATGGCAGCACTCACAGACCAACTGAAAGCTGTTCGCACATGATGTGAGCGAGGTTCTGAGTCTAGACTGAAACTGTCACTGGTTTTCGTCATGATTTGAGGTTGTCAACAGGAAATATGGTCACGTATATGGGCACAGTTGGTCCCATACCGGGACTTTCCCCGCTGGGTCACTTAACAGATACGCAGCTCAACTCGTTAAAGTTTGTGACAGAATTAATTTCACCAGCTTCCAGCACACAGCTCTTAGTTCGTGGCCTCCCGACCTCCATATTAGGCGGCAGTCCAGCGGCATAATAACAGCAACGACAGTTTCCCCATTACTTCAAAAAAATTCGGCCCGATAATTCCGGGAGACAAATAAGTTGACGAAATGGAAGAGAGCTCGCTACCCCAAGAGTTTCTTAATGGTGTTCTAGTGCCAGTCTGGATGAGCTGAGTTTTCAAAAACTCCGGATGAAAAGGGTCTGCGTTTAATGGACCATGTGGGAATCCTTTACCTTCATCTTCCGTACAACCTGTCTTTTGATCCTCGTGTTGCTACAACGCTGAAAGAAATGCCTGTTTTATTTCCCACTCGTTCATTTTGGTGGACGATGATGAGAACGTCGTTCGATCAATCACATGGCCCAAATGTGAACACGTTCGCTTGTTCAGACGTAAAAATTCAAATGCGTCCAACGTGCGTTGATGGAGTAGTGGTTGCACGCTCGTATGTCAGATATCCGGGGTTCGAATCCCGGCACGGTTGTTGGATATGCACTGCTGATGAGCTCTAATAAGAGCGAAACTCGAGTCCAGTGCTTCCCTTTGGTGTGGACTCACCGGGACTAATTACTCAGAACAGGAAGACGACCGTTCAAACGGTAGTGGTGTGACTATGAATAAAATACCTGTCCCGCAAGACCCCAGAACTGCAACTCAGATTTAGTTGTTCGCGTAACATGGCTCGATCGCCTGTATCAACGAGGTTCGATCAGGCGTGCTGTCTCAGGTTCATTTACGTATGCCCCGAGACACTGAGCATAATCTCCGACTTAACTCTGGCTCAAACTTGATTCGACCAAATGATCCAGGAAAACGAATCATACAAGTAACCGGTCACTGAGTATTGCTTCGAAAGTTTCCATAATTAGAAGCAGCTGAGAGGTATATATGAACGAAAAGACTGATTGCTGTGTGCATAAATCATCTGATTTTGAATTTAGTTTCCATTTCTGACATGTTCACCTGACTTTACTTCAAAACACTAGTCGTCAGTTTTCGCAAATGATGTCTACTGTAGGTCATTCGGAGCACTGCCTCAGACGCTTCTGATCAAACAAATCACGACAGCGACGATAATACAGGACGAGCATCTGCCCATAGTCACCCACCAGCAAACTGGTGTTCAGAACTCAATCGGATTCGTGCCTCTCTCGTTTGTGCCAAGACACAACTCTCCCCCCGTCTAACATCTCCCGTGCTTCTCAACCTCTTCTCTCACTCTCAGGTGTTTGAATTAGTTTAGGCAACAGAATATTGTTTGCACATGTGATGACGAGCACAGGATTTGGGTGGTGGGTGGGAGGTCGGGCTGAGGGTGATGAGTGTTTGTTTATCGATGGCAATCAATGGAGGGCTCAGACACACACACACACACCACAGTGAATGCTACTCAGGCAAGCCCACATGAAAACTGATATCGCGCGCGCGCTCGTCGGCTTTGTTTGTACAGTGCTTCGTGTGTGTACACACAGGCACGGCGTGTAAACTAGGGCGCTTTCACCCACCCGCCGGCATTCCGCGCGTCTGGTGAAGACGATGATAATTCAAACACGGGGCGAGACCGCACAGGGAGTTTAAACAAACAAACAAACAAACAACACAATCAAGAGTTTGAGCGTCAATTGACTGACTAACTGTTATTTAAACAAATCATTGTCTGTGTGTGTGGGCGCGCGCACACTCGAATTGGGTGTTTGCATTCTTAGCTCAGTGTCGTTGTTTATACGACACTAATCTGGACATCCATGCTGGTTCAGACAAGGAGGTTTGTAGCCGGTGGGAAAACGGAAGGCCAATCTGCACCTGCCCTCATGATTAAGGTTGGATTGAAATTGACATGTTGTGACCAGTATTTTGTGTATACATGACAGTGTCTGGTTTTATCAAAGAAAAATAACAAACAAGAAAATCTCTATTCGTGAGCATGCTGCCAGGTAACGTGAACAAATGGGTTCGGATCTTTTTCCCACCTGAGCTGGGCTTATATTCATAAGAAAGCAATAGAATTGCTCAGTTTCACATCACTCTCGTTTTGAACAGTCGTCCTCCTGTCCTGGCGCAATTATTCATGTGAATCCACACCAACGGGGGGAAGCAATGGACTCGAGTTTCGCTCTTATTAGAGCTCATCAGCAGTGCATATCCAATGACCGTGCCGGAGTTTGAACTCCGGACACCTGACATGCGAGCCGAACGTGTTACCACTATTCCACCAGCGCACGTTGGACGCATTTGAATTCTCACGTCTGATTGGGTGAACGTGTTCGCACTTGAGCGATGTGATTTGTATGCCCGACACATCACCGATACGACACAGTAACTGTCCTGTTTGTGACGATCGATTGGCCCGCTTGTCAGGTAGCGCCACAGACGCTTGAATGATGCATGCAATAGAATTGCTGTAAAACTGTTCGGTCCTTGTCGGACCATCCTCTGCAATGCGTATCTAATAAGCCGGACTCGAACCGACAACCTTTAGCATCGTTCCGAATCGATCAGTCGGCCAACGGTTCACTCAGATTCATTCAGTATGAAATAATCGACTTCTCAGATGATGACAGCTTTTCAGTAGGTTAAAAAAACAAAGGTTGACGAATAAATGAAGGAAATGGTCTAGTGAACCGCACCCTCAATTCAATATTATACCGACGTGGCACACAAAAACTATCCATCAGTTCAAGTATTACGCATTCATTCAAGACAGTGAAACTTTTTATCCGTCTAGAAGCGTTTGAAC